GTTACTGTTATGGTCCTCCCATTGTTCATCGATTTTGCTCGAGTGGGTCCAGGAACGTCTCCATTGGAGACTTTGTTGTTACTGTGTTTGGCATATCGAATACGTCACGGGTAGCTTGCCAGGCTCTGCCCTGCGGGCGAGATACTTTTGGCAGCTTGCTGGGCTCTCCAAGAAGGGCGGAGGAATTGAACTCGGGTTGGCCATATTGACTGCGTGCAAGGCGAACACCCTACCGCTGTGCTATCGCTCCAGCCTATATGTCTTTTTATTTTTTCATATTTGAAGACACTCAACAGTGACTTGGTGCTCGGAGATCATTCCTGATGGTGCTCAGGGAACTATAGGTGGTTCCAGGGAGTGAATCAGGATCAGGCACATGCAAAGCAAGTGTCTTACCCTCTCTACTATCTTGCTGGTCCTAAAAATTTCTTTCTTTTTGAGTGTTTTCTCTATTTTTAAAAAATAATATTTATTTAAAATTTTCCTTTCACCAATTTTTCCCACTCCAACTTCTGTCCCATTTCTGGCAACCTCCAATCTGTTCTCTCTGAGTTATTCAATGGGCTGGAGCGATAGCACAGCGGGTAGGGCATTTGCTTTGCACCCCACCAACCAGGCCGACCCAAGTTCAATTCCTCCGCCCTTCTCGGAGAGCCCAGCAAGCTACCTAGAGTATCTTACCCACAAGGCAAAGCCTGGCAAGCTACCTGTGATGTATTCGATATGACAAACACAGTAACAAGTGTGACAATGGAGACGTTACTGGGCCCGCTTGAGCAAATCAATGAACAACAGGAGTGACAGTGACAGTGATACACCTCTTAGAAGTGACTTTGTATAAAATGTGTTTCTCTCTGTCTGACTCACAACATTCAGATTAATATCCTCAGGTCCATCCATGTTACCACAAATGGCAGCATTTACTTCTCATGGCTAAATAATACTGCAGAGTATATATGTGTGAGAAACACTGAATTAGCTGTAGTCCCACCTATCAGATTTTTGCTCTTGATGCCTTTTGAAGTGAGACAGGAAGGCCCAGGGAAAGAAGGTTGCTTGAGCATGAGGCAGCTGTGACAGGCTGAGCATGTGTGAATGTCCAGCTTCACCTTCTCATTCAGCTGTTCTGTGACTCTGTGGTCCTATAGTGTACTCAGGCTTATCAGCAAAAACAAGACCTCTTGATATCTTTTTTTTCTGGGCTTTCTCTCTCACCTGAGCTTCCTGCTTACTTTCTGGGGCTCTTGTGCCTCATTGCAAGAAACCCTCCCTTGAATGCTCCAGAGCCACTTTGAGGCCCTGAGCTTTATAAAAGAACTCACGCTGGTCTGTCTGCACTGTCCCTAACTCTTTGGTTTTCCTTTTAGCAGGCTCAGAACTGTTAGTTCAATGGTCCAGTGGACATCCGACTCTGTTTTCACAGCTAGCTGTTTTAAACATCACCTAAGGCTTAGCCATGCAGGGGCCTACCTTGAAATTGTACTGAGGTTTTTAGCCATGGAGAAGCCCCAGACTATGAAGACCCCCACATGGTCCCGTGTTTGGAGCATCTGAACTGCTGCAGGACTAAGTGAGAGTTTTGACCAGTGTTTCCCAAAATGAGAAATACCGAAAAGGCGAGGAGCACTGAGATGATCCAGGGGGGCAGTAGGAGTCTCAGGTGCCATTGGGAACGATGTGTTCTTTATTCATTCACTTGAAGAATGTAGAAATTTAGGGCTGCACTAAGTAATTTTTATTTTATTTTATTTTTATTATAACGAATCACCATGAGATATAGTTACAGACTAGTAGAGATAAGGGCCAGTAATTTTCTTTTGAAAGGCGACGATAAGCCAATACATTCGGGAATTTCTGACCTGAAGCTTGAGGGTCTATTCCGATTCTCCTCTCTGCCAGAGTCCCTGCGTTCTCCTTTTGTAAGTGGTACTGCCCAGTGGCCACTGGATGGATCCCTGCTGAGATGCAGGACTGCGAGAAAGATGGCCTGTACCTCTGTCCCACGGTGAAGCTTGTGTGTGAAGCCGCTGACTGTTTCACCCTTTCCCTTGATCAACTTTGAGCCTCAGGAAATTCTTACAGTCCTGAGCCCTGCCCTTTCTCCAGATCCCTTGAAAAACCCTGACACTCAAGTTCCCTGTCTTCTTAAAGTGTCTGACCTATGAAATACATTCACCATGATGAATAAATGTTAGGGCCAGTTCATTCATTCATTCTTTCATTCCGCAGTTGAGGATTACTCCTATGACCCTAGGGGATTACTTCTGTGTCTATGCTCACTCCTGGCAGTTCTCTGGGGACTGTATGCAGTGCTGGGAACTTAACTGGGATCAGACGCATGAAAGACAAGCACTTTAACCCCAGTACTATCTTCTGCTTCCCAGTGTATGTATTTACCAACTGTTTCATGGGACACACAAATAATGCCAAGCACTAATTTGGATGTTCAAGATACATCATAGAAGAACAATAAGGATCCACATGTATGGAATAATATGACAGTGGGGTGACCCTGAGAGGCTCACAATTCCTCAGCCCTTGAAAAACACTTGAAGCCAAAGAGTTCTTCAAGGGGAAATTTTGGTAGTATCAGAGAACTAGTGGGAGGGACAGTTAGAACAGGGATTGGGATCACAATTGTGAAAGTCAGTATAGAAAATATGTCCATTCTTGTAGACTGCATGAAGGCTGGGCTTTAAATTAGGGCTTCTCCAGGGGGTCAGCTTCAGTTCTGGTTAAGAGGAACCATCCAGAACTGGTCCATGGTTGGAAGCTTGCCACCAATTTCCCTCCAACCAACCTCCAACCAAGTGGTGGTTTGTTGGAGGGAAATTGGAATAGATAAGGAACCATTATGACAATGATAATTGGAAATGATCACTTTGGACATGAACTGAGTGCTGAAAGTAAGTAAAGGGGTATACATGATAACCTTTCAGTACCTGTGTTGCAAACCACAATGCCCAGAAGGAAAGAGATAGAGTATAAGAGTGAGTGAAAGAGAGAGAGAGAGAGAGAGAGAGAGACAGACAGACAGACAGACAGACTGACTGACAGACATAGGGGAGAAAAGTGCCTGCTATAGAGACAGGCTGTGGGGAGGCAGTGGAAGGGAAACTGGGGTTACTGGTGGTGGGAAATGTATGTCCAACGGTGAAGGGACAGGTGTTGGAACATTGCATGACTGAAATCATGAACAACTTAGTAACTGTATATCTCCTGGTGATTCAAATAAAATTTCAACAAAAAATTCAAATTCAATAAAAGAAAATAAAAATCAAAATAAAACCCAGTGGGGGGAAAAGGAATCCTCAAAGTCAGTAATTCAACAAGGAGGCCTGGCTCTACCTGTGAGCCACAAGCCTGCCATGCTCTCTGGAGAACAAACTCTTCCAGGACTGAGCCAGGTAGTGAGAATATGCCCACTTAATGCAAAGATGAAACGACATAACTTAGCTGTTTGGACTGTTAGGTGCACTATAAATGAGGAGATGGAGTCTCAGGATTGGGCTGTTCCTCAGCACATATTGCAAGCAGGAAGGCCAGAAAGTGTCTCTAGAGTTCTAGAGCTGAATACGCAGGACTGTTTACGTGCCACGTCTCTGACTAACCCAGAAGTGGTTATTATGGGTTATTATTGTGAAAGTCAGTCTAGCAAATAGGTCTGTGGCTGCTTCATCTAATTATGTGAAGAGTCTGTCACCTGAAACCTGATGGGAGCCAATTCTAGGGCTACACAGGACTTAGCTGCCCTTTCTGCCATTCAGACTTGACAGAATTGCTTCCCTCGGTGTTCTCCTTTAGCTGGGATTGGAAACACACCAACCATATACAGCCTTCGGTCACACACAGCATCTGGCTGGTGTCATCTTGTCCCAAGTTGCGTCTTCTCTGGAAAGCAGGAGTGGCTACTTCCGGTTAGCAGGCAAGAAAGCAGAAGTGGTTATACTACGACTCATTGATGTCAATCTAGGCACAACACAAGCTCCAGTGTTCTCCAGTTCATTGTATTTTTACCTGCTTTCTCTGGTTTGTTTGTTAGCAGTGGGAGCGCCTCTTCACAAAAGCCGTGCAGAAAGGCAGACAGAAGCTGGAACCTCTGCTTGGGCTTGGATTCCAGTCTTCTCAGTCCTCTCGATGGGATTATTTCCAAGGACCTTGGAAAGTACTCCAGTTGCCTGGAAAAAATTCCAATCTATGCCAATAGTCTGCAAACAAGTGAGGAACAGGCCCCAGGAGGGAGCTAACAGTCCAAAGAACAGGTTCACAGCCCATCCCAAGACATTTCCCAAAGACAGGGAAAGTGGGGTCAGAGGAAGGACCATCCTCTCTCATGTGATGCCGGCAGTCAAGCCAGGTTTTTGGGTTCTCACCATCTTGCTCTCTCTTTCCTTAGGGACCACATCCAAAGCCTTTTCTCATAGTTTCCTCTTCCCACAGTTTCAATCACTCAAAGTGCCAGAAATCTAATGCATTTTTTTCCAAAGGTAATTTCATTTTATTTCCCCCCTTCCCTTTATTGCAATATTTGGTGATTGCAGCCTTGTTGCAGTGCAGTGCTACCCCACTCACCCCTCCCACCCCCACAGGATTGTAGTATTTACCTGGGGTAGGGGGCTCACTTTTGACTGAGGACCACACATGCATGATTTCTGAGTCCACCATTGCACGTGTGGGATCTGGGATCATAACAGGCAGTGCCGCCTCTAGTGTTGCACGGCGGGAGGTGCAGCCTCATGCATGTAAGGCAGGTACTGTCCCACTGAGCAACATTCCTGGGCCCCCAAGGCCTTTTATCCTTAAGACACTTCAGAGTGATGATGTATGATGGCCTATGTCAAGGCATAGAACATTCCCTGAGCACGCATGGTTCCTGAATATACCAGCCACTGGCTGTCAGAGAAAGCATCTCTTTAGTTCTCTCTTGGTTTGTTCTCCCTGTCTAGGGACCCTTCCACACAAACTTCTCAATCTGATGTGTTTGGAGCCTCATGTAAATGGCATCACACTTGGAGTGCTGTGCATCATGAATGTAAGATTCATCCATCTCGTTGAGCTCAGTCGGCTGTGGTTCATCCATTTTATTTGCTGTTTTTGCTCTGAGATCAAAAATGATTTATGTATTCATTCCCATGATGGGCATTTGGGTTGTTTCTGGTTGGGTGCTATCGTGGATGATGGAGCATGGTGTGGATAAGGCCATGTACCTTCCCAGCAGGGGAAGAGTGAGACAGGGAGCGTGAAGCCTGAGGAAGAGAGGGACTTGTCCAGAGGCAATGGGCCTGGGCCTAGGCTGAAAAAGTTCTGTCCATTTCCTCGTACTCTAAGACCCCAGCCCCCAGGCTATGGGCACAACCAGAAAAGCGGACAAATGTTCAAGGTTTTATTGTAAAACAGAGTTGAAATCCTGTGGATTTCACTTACATAGACAATGGACATTCACTGAGCGCCTGCCAGGCACCAGGCCTCGTGGGGGCTCTCAGCCTCCTGCTCTCAGGATCTTGCCATCTTGTGCAGAGAAGACAGAGGCATTGCCATCATCCATGCAACTTATAAAGTGTCACCAGCGCCAACAAGTTCAAGGAGCAGAGCATCTCTCCTGGGCCATGAGGGAACAAAGGGCCCAGAGCTACACTGTGCTCTGGGTGGGAGCTGGAGCAGCCTTGAAGGGATGGGGGGTGACTGTAGAGGGTCAGTACAGGAAGCTGACCAGCTGAGTGGACATGGTGAACTAGATCAGGGCAGTGGGATCAGGTGTGCAGAAAACAGAACATACAGGCACCAACAGAGGACACCTTTTTCATTTTCACAAGCATGACAAAAGTAAGACAGAAAAATGAAAAGGGAGACTTGTTTTCAAAAGTAAGACAAGAAAGTTTTCTTATCCAATCTCCCTTCAGAGAGAACATACTTTCCGAACGAAGGCCTCACTTTTGCATGGACTGAAGTTGGCTTAACTTCAAAAATTTCCATGAAACTCTCATTTCCCATTTTTCTAAAGACCCTAAAAATCTTTCCTCATGGAGCAGCATCAATTTGCAAAACTAGGTAAAGTAGGTAAACAAGATACAGTGGTAGAGTGATGAGTGACGTTGAGGTCTGGGGTGTGGACACTAGAGCAAGGTGCAGGAGAACCTAGGCAACCGAATTGGCCTGTGGCCTGGGTTTCACCCTGAAGGCACAGGCCTTCAAGGTTTTGAGCTGCCACCAGATTGAGTCTATGCTTGGGAGGCAGTCTATGGTTAGCTGAGGATGCGGGAGAAAGAGACATGTTTCCAGGGTTCTTGTCCCTCCTTTGGTAGCTCCACCTCACCAAGGCTGTTCCTCAGAGCTTGTGAGAGAGAAGAAGACCCCGAACAGGAGTCATGAGTGGGCTGGAGTGGGAGAGGGGAGCAGGTAGTACTGTTAGTCCTGCTGGAAGTAGAACTTGGTGACTTTGATGGCCTCATCAGGTGTGTTGGTGAGGCTGACGGGTCGGTCGGCCTCCAGCGCAGTGCAGAGATACCAGCCCGGACAGGCCGCTGACTCAAAGCTGATGGTGGGGCCATTGTCTGAGCGGATGAAGGAGAAGCGCTTGTCCTGCTCCTTGTTCTTGCTCAGGTCAGTGATGTCAACAGGCTAGAAGTTGAGAGATGAGAGAATAAGAGCTGAGGAGCTGAGCAGACATCTCTTCACGTCACCTGACATGGACTTTCAGCTGGCCTCAAGTGAGTGTTAGAGAAAGGGTAACCCGGAGATCCCAGTGGGAGCCATGTTGGCTGACCCCCATCCCTAAGGCAGTAACAACACAAGGCAACTGTCTCATTGTCACTCTTTGGATTTGGGAAATCTAGACATTCTAGCCATGGGCAAATAGGTTGAGTATATGACACTATGAACAGAGGCCCAGGCATGTGGAGGCTCCCCTTTGTCAGGTTCTGCGCCTTGGAGGCGAGGGATAGAAGAGGACATTGGCAGGACATTGTGATCATTCAATGTATAACATACAATGCTCTCACCAGGCCATCTCGTCATATGTGGGCACCCTCCAAACAAGTGTTCTGTCTGTGGATGAAGGCTCATGTTGTGGTCATTCATATTGGAATCAAAATCTTATCCAATAAGGCCCTGAGACAAAGTTCATCCTCTCTTAGGACTGGTAGCCCATTAGAGAGTAGAGGACCCAGGAATATCCAGATCCAAGAGGATCCAGAGGTCCAGGGTGGATCCCCAACTTGGAGTTTGAAAAGATGAGGATTGGCAGGGAAACGCTAGCTATGCTGGTATTACTATGTTATTGCTGGATCATAGGGGCAAATCTAAGGAGATTTGAAGTCCTTGGGAGAGCGGGTCACAGGGAGACTGAGGTCCCAGATTCTTAAGTGAAGTCAGCCTTCTGAAGTCACACTCCTATGGTCCCCTTCTTCATTGATTGAGCTATATGAGTGGTTTTTGCCAATAGAGTATTAATGCTAGCAAAGGCTTAATGAGTGTTTGCACACTTAGGCTGGGTTTTTGGGGGAAAGATCTTCCTGGAGCCAGTAGCCTGGTTGAAAGGAAGCTCAAGGTAATTAGGGGTCTCCATGAGTCTGGAGGATGAGAAACCACCTTGGAGACTCCAGCACCCTCTCCAGCACCTTCTGAGTCCAGACTGCAGGAGTGATCCCAGCAAGGCCAAGTGGAACAGAATTGCCCAGCAAATCCATGTCTGCTCACAGAAGGCTGGGAAAGAATATGCTGTGGTTGCCTTAAGCTACTGGGGCTTGGGCAGTTATCTTCTGGGCGAGGTTCTTACCTCCAACTGGAGCCTGATCTCATCACCAGACTTGACACAAGACAGGCACAGCTTCCCCTCGTGGATCCCCAGGAACACAATATGAGGCTCAATAGGTACCACATCTATCTTCTCTGGGGAAGAACAAAGGAGTAGGTGAGGTGCAAAGAAGGGGAGACAACATGAATTTTTTCCTGGGGAACTTCTGCCTTCCTAACCTAAAGCCAGTTCAGCAGGATAATGCAGCACCTTCTTGCCTATATCCAAATAGCAGATAAATGCACATGCACCATCCAGCTGCTCCTTGAGGACCAAACTGCCTAGATTCTGCCCTATGTGATTTTAATCCTTTCCTCACTCCCATAAGATACCTGTGCTCCAGGCCAGTAGGCAAGTGGCCCATGGAGGAAAGACTAATACCCCAGGTTATGAGTGGAGTCCCAGGACTTGGTCCACATAATCTGGCTGTCTTTGAGCCCGCCGTTCACTTGGGGAATCTCATCTCACTTGTATCTGTGAAAGAGCTCAGCCTCTCTCTCTCTCCTCCTGAGTTTTATTAGAGTTGCCAGAACAGAAAACACAGATTTCACTCTCTTTCAGAGAGAGGCCATGGTGGAGTTGGGGAAGAAAAAAGAGGGTGGGGAAGGATGAGGAGATAGGGAGTTGGAGACAATGCCCAGTCTGCCAGAAAGAACATAGAAACATCCTAGAAGGCAAGGGCAAAAAAGAATCTCACACCACTCATCCAAATGCCCTCCTTTTACTAATGGAGAGAGCAGATAAAGCATTCCAAGTTCATTCAGCCCATTTCAAACACCAACCAATATTTCAATATGGCAGATACATAGTGGGTTTGAACAACAGATACATACATGGGTATAAGTCAAGATTTGAGCAATAGGAACAGGTACAGGGAGCAGAAGGGTCTGTCTCTGGACCCCATAAAAAATATCCTAACTGTTTACCTGAGATCACCGTGCTCTCTCTATGTAGTTTCTCTCATCCTGGCCTCTGCCTCTCAATGCCTTGTTTTTTTTGTTTTTTTTTTTTTGCTTTTTGGGTCACACCCGGTGATGCACAGGAGTTGTTCCTGGTACTCCTGGTTCATGCACTCAGGAAATACTCCTGGTGGTGCTTGGGGAATCATATGAAATGCTGGGAATCGAACCTAGGTCGGCTGCGTGCAAGGCAAATGCCCTACCCGCTGTGATATTACTCCAGCCCCTCTCCCTGCCTTCTTGAGCTTTACCTCACATGTGCCCTCTAGTGGTCAGGCTTCCACGGCTTCAAATTTGTCCTCATAATTAAAAGGATGTGAAAACATTGCATCTAAGGTTTCAAGAGGCAGGTCATAAGGCCGTAGGCCCTGGAGAAAAGCAGCAAAGAGATCCTGTGCCTGCACATCATCATTCCCAGAAACTACTCACCTTCCAATTCAGTATTGGAACCTTGTAAGTATCCAGCGACTAGTTGGTTATTCCTCAGGTAGAATGTCTTCTGGTTGATATCCCAGATTCTGAAACACAAAAGGACTCTGCTGTAATAGGCCCTGCTGTGGGTCTGGCCCTGTGCTCAGCCCCTCCCCAGTGCTTGTTGAATGTGCCTCCCCCTTTCTGCAAAGGTGTGGTCTCCTGGTTTACCAATGGCATGGAGGAGGAGGAGGAGGAGGATGACACTGGTTAAGAGACAGCCTCAATCCCACAGCTAATGGGTGGTATACCCACAATACACTCCTGTTTTTACCTCCCCCTGTCATCCTCAGAACAAGGCCACATAAGTGGAACACCCTCCAGTAGGTTTCTTGGAGTGCATTAATATTCTCTCTCTCCACTGTCCAATATGGTAGCTCCCACCACTTGTGGTTGTCCCCTTCTCGCCATATGGCACAACCTAGCCTCTTTCATTTCACTCTATTTCTTAAAACTTAAAATGTAAATTCAGAACCACAGGAGATCAGTGGCCAACACAGCAGAGCGTTAGATGTATCCAGGGACAGATCCCCTTCAGTTAACTCACTCCAAGCTGTAGATTCTTGTCCCCAGAGTCTCCCCTCCATCATCCAGTGAGCTGTTTCTGGCACCCTGTCTTTTCTCTTTTTATTTTTTTTGTGGAAGGGCTCTGAGATCATGGCTTGCAGCTATGAGAGAAGGTGAGCAGAGAGTCCAGGACGTGGCCCGTCCACCCCTGATGCCTACTAGAGCAGGCTTGGACTTGGGCCCTTATCCTCCCCTGTGAAGTGTGGCCAAGGGCACTGGCCATGCCAAGAGGCTGGAAAGTGAACACAAGGTAGACAAGGGGTGATCAGGTGAACTCTTCACTTCTCCCTGACCTCCTTCTGTGATTACTTTTTGTTCCTGGATCAGTTTCAGGCTAAATATTCCTTACTAGGACCCTCTAGTGGCAGCTGCTGGGGCTTTCTATGATGAACTGCAGTTCACATCTTTGCACAGGGGAAGGACTTGCTTGGATGCACATACAAGCACAAGTACGTGCTCACACAAGGACGCACACATGCACTTATAAGCACTTATGCAGGTACATATGCAAGCACAGGGCCCTGATCAAGTGTCTCAAGCCAGCAAAATTCTGAGAAGCCAAATGAAAGGACCCAGACATGACTTTAGCTCTGGAGCACCCATGACAGAGGGAATATAGAGAGGGTTCCCTAATCAACTCCACAATTTATCATTTTCACTACATCAGCAGAGGTTAAATCATTCTTCCAATGATCCTTGCCCTGTTTTCAATAATCATGATAGTTTCCTGTACCTTACTGTTCACAGAACTCTCTGGTTATCTGTGCATTAGCCCCTTTTGGTAGGCAGAGAGCCAGGCTGTGCTTTCTCAGCCAGATAGAAAACCAGGTGTACCTACACCAAAGGCATTGTCCAACACCAGCAGTGGGCTTTGGCAACTGGTTCTGTGTCCCTGTCTCCTCCTGGCTAGACCCATATCCCAGAAAGTGTCCGTGATCAGTTAGTCACTGAGTTGTCTGCATCCCTGGCAAGTAAGGTGGTACTCCAGCCAAGCTTGGAATGTCTAGAATGATTCAAAATGAAGACCTGAAGACCATGATGGGAAATGGCAGTCTTTTCCTTCAACAGACCCAAAGCTACTGTAGCCCCAGAGAGCTGTGCTGGAGTCTTCCTCACTGCTTTCTCCCCTACCTTCTCACCACCTTACCTGAAGGCCTGCATCATGTAGAGTCTCTTTCCTGTGGGGTGGCAGGCTGCCTCTGAATGAAACAGGAAAAGGAAGAGAGCAATTAGGTAACTCTTCTTGCAGATGTCCATCCTGTGACCCTCAACAAGGCAAGTGACACTGCCATGGCAAGTCCAGAAGAGCAGCTTTTAAAGAAAAGACCTACTTTATCCATCGTTTGAGCGGAAATGCCCAAAACCAGAAATATTTCCAAAGCAAAATGCTGCTGTCACTTTCAAACCTTTAGAGTGTTGCAATGGGATGTTGCAACTGATTTCCCTCCCCTCTTTCACTGTAATTTCCCCAAAGTTGATTTTTCCATTTCCCCTTGACTGAGTTCCTGGGAAAAAGAGCAGGGTGAAAAGCCAACCTTCTCTTCTGCCTGCAGGGACCCTGAGACTGTGAACTTACCTCTACTGAGTCAGGTTTGAGCAGAAATGTCAATGTGTACCCACACCACGTGGTTAAAGCCAAGGGTAAGGCTTCCAACACAGGGAACAGTCAGCTGTCACGTTGTGTTCCTGGAAAGAGGAACAAACTTGCAGGACTCCTGGGCTGGGACTGACCAACACTCTGTGAAGGACCAGTCAATAAACATTCTAGCACCATGATTACTTGAGTCTCCTGTCACCACATTGATGTACTGGCAGACAATCCACAATAAAATGTGCAACATTTTTGTTCCAATATAACCTCTATTTACAAAACCAGTAGGTGGGAAAGTGCCTGAACCTTTTCTACTTCTGTTTTGGAACGTTGAAGCCACTGCCTGTATTCCTGCAGTTCACCCTGGAAAGTGGCTGAAGGCAGCACAGGGCCAGACTGGAGTTCTCATCCCTTCCCAGTCTCTTGTCACTTCATTCATTCAAGTCTCTGCCTCTGCCTCCTCGTGCTAATCTCATGTGGTGAGGTGGAATTTCTTCCTCACATGTAAAAGGAGGGAAGCAAGGAGAGAAAAGAGTAAGGGAAGGGAAAAGGAAACCAGACAAGCAGAAGGGAGAGAGGCAAGGAGAAACTGTCCCATAGTGAGCACTAATTAACCTTAGCTTCCTTCCTTACTGCATCCTAGACAATTATACAGAGTAAGCACACTCCCTTTTCTGGATAGAAAAATGTTGGAGAGTGTCTACTAGATTTGTAGTACTGTGGGAATATCGAACACTAGTGCAGAAGCATTCATTATGGCATACATTGTGGCAACTTGTCATAGTCATTCACTTGCACCCTAATACTGTCTTGGAAAAGACCTAAGAAAGATCCAGAAGTGGAACGGCCTGGCCCACAGTCACCCAACTTGTCAATACTAAAGGTGTTTCCAGGAATCCAGACTGACTCCCAAGAATCAACTTGATGCTGTCGTTGGTCTTGATCAGACTGACTTTATTGTCAATTAACCAAAATGGGTTTGGGTTTGAAGGAGGGTAAAATCTTCCAAGTAGGAAGACTACATGAATCTCCCAATCCCTGAAAAGTTTCTTTTTCAGAGCAAATGAAATATTCTGCAAAAAGGAATGTATCATGACCCTGGGTGTTTTCTTTGCACCCATCACACAAAATGGCACAAAGATATATACATGATAGGTTTTTACAAGCTGTGTGATTTTGAAGTAGCCATTGATCCTATCTGGAACACACCGAAGAGAACATACAGTCCTCCTCTGAATGTCAGTGAAGCATTTTATTTTACGTTGTTTTTATTGAAAGCTGGCCAAAGAAGGTGATGCATACTAGCCTGTTTGTTACCTGTCAACTAAGCAGAATTTGCTGAGTTGGGGGTTGTATTTCCTGAAACATTTATGAATCATCAGGTATAATTTGCTCATCAGACCTGTTAAAAGGGAAGGCAATTTCCACTCCATGGTGATAAGCTTACTCCTACAGTCTCTATAATGCTACTTCTAGAAAATGTCCTCAAAGGTTAAAGCATCATCCCTCAAAAATAAATCGTCAAAGACCAAAAAGAGAAGAAACTTTCCATGACAAGACAGAGGAACTCCTAACAGCCTCCCAGTCAAGGCACCACCTAGCTTGTTATCCTGGGTGAATGTCCTTCTGACCCCAACCCAAAATCAGAATAGCAGAGACTCCAGTTATTTCCCCAACCCACCCACCGAAAGAAAGAAAGAAAAGAAAGAAAGAAAGAAAGAAAGAAAGAAAGAAAGAAAGAAAGAAAGAAAGAAGGAAAGAAGGAAAGAAGGAAAGAAGGAAAGAAGGAAGGAAGTTCTCAAGAGTATCATCGAGTATCATGCTGCTTAGAGTCAGTCAGAGGGATAGATACAGGATGATCTTTCTCATTTATCTTTCTTTAGTCTTCTCCCTGTTAGGCACAGGTTTGTACTCTTTCCACACAGAGCGCAGAGAATTTCCCCTTTGGCTCTTGTGGGGAGGGAGACCTTGGAGTCTGGCCATGAAGTTGGACCCACCTGGGATGTAATGTTATTAACTAGCTGGAATCCTTGTTCAAGGTGCCAGAGCGCTCCTGATCTCAGTCATTATCTGCTACACAAGCTAATAATAGAAGTTTTGTACTAGGTTGCTATGAGAATTAAGGTACTGCACATTGTGTAAACTCAAAAGGGGCAGCGGTGTTCTATCTCTCCTACTGCCCATGTTTGGTGGTCTCACGCCGCTTCACCAACCCTTGGGGAGGTTGATGGCGATGGGCAGGCAAAGGAAGGAAATGAGGGCCAGGCTAATTGGTGTCAGTTGCAGTTTATTCCAATCTCCTCTGATTCTCTCTCTCTGCTTCTCTCCCCCAGCCATGCTACTTCATTCTCCTTCTTGATCCCCCTTTCATTCTCCTTCTGCCTCCATCATTATCCTTCTCTTCCTGGCTCTGGATCTGGATCCCCCAGGCCCCTCTTACCGCTTCATTAAATCCCAAAACTTGAGGGGTTGGTGCTAACACACAGGTGTGGTCACAATCAATAGGGGTAGATCTAGGACAGATTCTCATTTAGCAAGTCGACCCACCCTAGAACGGAATCCCATGGGTGTGTTTCTCCTCCCCTTGTCCAACAAACATATAAGCATTCATAATATTAATCATTTTGTATGGACACAGTAAGAGGTACATTAAGCTAATAGAATTGCTCTCCTGGGCTCATCTTGATCTCATCTATAGTGCTCAGGCGAGATTAGTCTTTCCTATCCCTAGCAGAGTCCTAATCTTGTCATTACTTTTGGATCATGACAGCATTTGTCCATGATCAAGCTCTTAACTTATAATAAAGAATTGTGGAGCTTTGGCCTGGCCTATTTCCATACCAGGGTAGCTCACAGCTTGCCCTGGGTCCATTCAGTCCCTCATCAGGACCCTGCTTTTGGGGTGCTAGGAACTAAGGGCAACTGAGGCTTAATTCAAGAAAGCAGATGCCCGGGAGTGACTAATATTCAAAGCCAATTAAATCCTACATTACAAAAACATAATATTAACGATCTTCCTGTGTCCATACAAAAGAACATTGTTTTAAAGTAAACTATTCAAAAGATATAAGGTGAGGAGAAAGGCAATATTAACTTACAATACAAATTCAGTGTCCTAGAAGGATCTGCCCTTAAAAATTAACAGAGTCTGATTAGGGGGAAAAGCTGATTAACTGGTTGGGGAAGAGAACATAGAGAAGTGATTACAGATAAACAAAAAAATGGGAGTGACTCTGGAGCACTGTGATGGGTGTAACCTGATAAACCTAAGCTCCTTGTAGCAAGGGAGAAAGGACAAATCAATGTTATACTACAGTACATGATGATGTCCTTAGCCTGAAAAATAGCAGTTGCATCAATTCTCCACACTAGGTGGGAATCACACTGTGGCTGGAACCCAGTCAGCCAAGCCCTGCACTCTGAACACTCTTTTCCACTCCATATTCAAGAAAGACCCTCATCCCCTCTTCACAGGGGAAGAAAGAAAAGGAAGAGGACTATCTCCATCCCTTTCCTTACGCTTGTGGCTACAATAAAACTTTTGGTTCTATCTTATCAAAAACCAATTTGTGTTCCTGTGAGTTCTGCCCAGAGGAAATCTCTGTATTCTGTTTTTGGTGCTCAGTCCCTAGTCCCCTTTCTCAATTAATAAAAGACCAAGATGCCCTTAAAGGGAAACATGACAAACTGGTTAAGTCCGCACGCTAGGAGCAACACAGAACAAGCTGTATGGAGACAGTATGGGGACTGTCTGGAAAAACATTGCACCTGCTACCCAGGAATTTTCCACTTTCACTTATTATTATTATATAGTAATATATTATTATAGCAATAATATTATCACTTATTATATCGGTGTCTTTCCATTTCAGGAGCTCCATTTTACTTCTTGTTGGTATAAGTTCTAGTTTTCTGCCAAAATCATCACTCTTGTCTTTTAAATCCTCAAATACGTAATTCATGGTTCTTGTGACGGCTTCCCCAGATAACACCATAACTGAAATCCTGCTGTTGTTTGTTTTTCTCTGGCACACAGGTTATCTTACAAACAGCATAAATATTATTGCTTACTGAATACTGCAGAACAAGAACTGTAAAGAACATTTGAGGCTCTGAGGGATGTTCTCTTTACCTAGAGCCACTTGTACCTCTCTGCTAGACAGAGAGGCCAAGGGCACTTCCTCCCAAAAAGCCTTACGATAAGATTCAGAACTAGGTTTATCACTTGTTGACTCCTCCACTTCAGGTTTCCTCCTAACATGTGAGACACACCCTGGGATGCTTTACTGTAACTTCCTTCTCCTCAGTGGGAGCAAAAGTACAAATTTGTTTACCCTGCTAACCCAAGCCTCGTAAGTCTGCCTCAAGCTCAACTGCAGCCTTCGAAACCAGCAAATGCTCCAGTGAAAAGGACCCCAGTGCTCAGCTTTGCTTCTCTGGTGCCCTGAGGATCTTCCAAGCCTTGGTTCTTCTTGGAGTTGGGGTAGGAGAAGTGACTGGAAATTGGGGCAAGAAGCAGAAAAGGAAGAGCCTTTAATGTCACTTTAAGGCACAAAAGGGGGGTTGTTGTTTTAGAGAAGAATTAGTTACAGAGGGAACTGGTCAAATTTGCTAACTTAAATTTCTTTGATCATCCTGGGTCAGTAGACAGGTGGATCATGGTTTGGGTTGACTGGGTCGCCAGGGCAGTGCTGTGCTGAT